TGTTTGAGGTGGAAGACGAAGCCTTGTGCACGACCGATCCGAGACTTCGGGACGCAGTCGGGGGAGTGAATGCTGTTTGCTTCGAGGCTGTTTGAGGCGGGCTATCCGAGAAAAGGAGGCCTTTGCTACAACTACTCAAACTCCGCACCAAGGCAGGTTTGAACAGCCCATATCCTCTAGTAGGCAGTGCATAGTGTGGCAGGCGTACCACAGCCCGTTGGCGGAGTGCATGTAGGCAGCGACCACAGGTGTACTCACCAGTCATTGCTGGTTGGTACAGAGCTAACATGAGCCAGGAAGAAAAGGAAAGAAGAATGAAATATAAGAAGTGGTTGAGTGTCGAGACTCTCCGGCAGTGACGCGAGAAGCAGTTGCAGGACGGAGCTTACTGAACGGTTGCCAAGCATTCACACGTGACATCCGCGGCCCAGCAAAGTGGTGTTGAATAAGTTTTATGCTACAGTCAAGATGCATAGCATCTTCAATCATTCAGCCATTGAGGCATGTATCCTTCCAGTGTGAAATCATAGTTACAGTGGGAATGACCACGCATCAAACACACGCATTACTCACCCTCAGAAAATATCCTCACAGCCACTCCAATCGTGGGATTCTCGGCACTTCCAATAATTACCGTTGTGTGCCCAGTACTCCTCTCCGGTGATTGGGCACTGGGCTCGCGTGAACCACTTGGGCTGGTACTCCTCCCCGTTGGTCTCGCGCTCTCTGCGCTTGGCTCGTTGCTTTTCTTCTACCCGATGCTTCTCACTGGCCGCCAAATCATATTCACCTTCTTCCATCGCACGCTGGTCAGGTCGAAGCCGTGTGTCCGTAGGAGGAAGGTGCTCCTTGAGACCATTCGGCAGAGCGTTGAGGGTGATAACGAACGGAGTCAGGTTGAACGGAATTCCGCTTGGGCGCGCATGACACTGCCAGACCAAAAGCGTCTTGTTTGATTCGGGATCCTGGCCAGACACCGGCGCCTCAAACCCGGGAGTATGACGCGCATATATTTTGTCATTCCACCGACCGCCAATACTCCATCTCGGGGTTCCATCTCGATCTACTACTTTCCCGGACACCTGATATGCAGAGGATGCCTTCCATCCCCTGGGTTTAAAATCCAGGTAGCAGATCTCGCCGGTTGTCCAATTTTTGATCTCCATTAACCCGTAGTTGTCGACCGTTGGGTTACCAGTAATGATGCCGATAACAGATGACGTGACTTTCTTCCAAGTGTATAATTCCTCTCCTCCGGATGCCGGCCGCAATCGAAGGAACCATGTCCCTAAGAGATTGATGTCGAAAGATTTCCCGTAGAACTTCGATTTGAGAGCAGACTCGCCCTTATTTTTATGGATCAGTCAGCAAATTGACGGCAGTCACTACATTAGAAAATTCTAAGAATAAGTACTCACATAGTAATCCCATTTGGTTGACTCAGCCCAGGCAGCGCCTATCGGTGGGTGGTGGCTGACCTGCTCAATAAAGAACCGATAACCTTTGTCAGGCCGAACATATTCGAATGTTTCACCAAGGAGGGGGTTGAAAGGCTTTGCCACACGGCCAATGGTCGATGCATATTCGCTTGCAGCATACGCAGCGACGTATAACAACCGCTCCATGGAGTCGGGTCTATCAGCGGCAATGTCCAGGAGGTCCGCATATTCCAGGTCTTCAGCCACTCGCTGAAGCAACGACGTTGGCTCGTTGAAAGAGACTGGAAGGGTCATCTTCGTCATGTCCTTACCAATCATAGACTTTAGAATACCCTACAATTATTGTGAGCGTTCACAAATGTCAGGTTCCTTATGCAGTGGGTTGTTGAGCTGTTACTTACCCAAAGCGAGATTTTCGGCCTGTTGTCATAGTCCATTTTCAGCCGTTCCCTGACGGACTCATCGTACCCTGTGAATGAGGGGATAATTTCCTTCCGCTTGATGGCTCGAAGCTCGCTACCCTCATCTGGAGACTCCCTCCCGTCATCATCTGAAGGTACAGATGACAATTTCTCCACCTCAATCTCCCCTGAATCAATTGCATCAAAGAACTCGTCGTCGTCGTCATCGTCGGACCCTGAGTCACAAAGGTTGTTGATCTGAGAGAGAGTTGACTGTTTGCGATTGAGCGACTGCCCTGGCTCTTTCTCCGTTAGCCGTGAGCACTTGTCAACCACATCGGATGCATGAGCCTCGACTTTTGCAACATCGGAGTCATCTTTGATGGTTTGTGCATGAGAAGGAGCCCTGCCATCAATATGGCCAGTAGTAGCTGACTCTAATGCTTCCCTGAGCGCCCGTTTGGTGCGCCGTCGTTTCTCCTCCGACTCACCCATTCGCGACTGCAGTTCTTCATGTTCAAGCGCTATCTTAGCCATACTCTCTTCCCACATCTTACGTAAATAGGCCTCACGGTTGAGCCTATATTGCCAATAAGCATCGCGGTCCCTGGAAATTCTCAAGAGATTTTGCACCAAGCCTTGTAAGCTACTCACGGCTGCTCCGTAAGCTACCAGAGCTTGCTCGACGGCCGGATCTGACAGGGTTGTACTCGGGCTTCTCGATTGTTCCACCTGCATTGAAGCCGCAATGTTGGCAAGGATATCAAGCTGGAGTTTGGTCGACTGTGCGGTGATATTCAGGGCATCTTTATCAGTTGGTGGTATATCGTGGCTGGATGCATAATCCCCATCATCGTCATCAATATCATCATCTCCGTCAATGTCGGGCGCAGTAGTTGCATGACTAGCGAGACGGCGGACAGCGTTTGATGGTGCAGTATGATCCAACGAGCCGTACAATGAGCCTTCATCGTCTTCAGGAGCACTTTCTAGCGTTGTACGCGATGCATACGTGCTAAGCCGTGTGCCACTACTGCTTGGTACGGCATTGGATGATGGAGCCAGGGTTCTCCCACTCGATTTGTTGTAGGTATTGAAGCCCGGCGAGTCTGACATGCTCTCAGGCGACCGACCCTCAGTCTGTTCGATCTTCGCTTGGCGTAGCACTTCGGCATGCCTTGTCTGGCGCTTCTCTTCTTCTTTTGCTTCGTCCTTTGCCCATTGTATGGCATTGTTGAGCGTCCAGAACCAGCGCTTAGCCTCGACGACATGATTCGCCTTGAGATGGTACTTGACCGATGACTTGCCGTGAATTTCAAAACGAGTCTTGTCCTGCGAATCCATGTTAAGCCTGGCAATTTTCATATTGATAGCACCCCGGCAAGCTGAGCCCGCATCATCTGCCAATACCAAGGAGTAGGCATCAGGTTAGCCGATTTCACATGATTGGAAACGAGTGTGTTTGGCTAAATTCACCTTGATGTTTATAGTAACTCAAGACCCCATCCTCCAATACAAACCACCGTAGCTTATAACCACTGGTGTAATTTGTCCATTTCTTCAGATATCCTCTCATCTCACGAGCTTCTTTGCCAGCGAAGGGAGCTTCGGCTACGCCCACCCGGCCAGAGACGCTCGGGGCCGTTGCGCTAGTTCCTAAAATGGCTTTCTCCTGTATACCCCGTTGAGCCATGACAGCGGCCGGGGACTTTTTGACGATCGCACGCGTCTTTTCATCTTTGGTGACGTCTTGTGGGAGCTTTCCCTTTTTGTCGCGGCGGAATGGGTCGGCACCATGCATCAAAAGAATCTGTATCAGCTTCGTATCTCTTCTCCTTGCTCCTTCGTGTAGCAACGTTCCCCCAGATTGAATAGTAGCAGGATCAGTGACTAGATTCAGGCTATCGACATCCATCACACCCTCAACCCGAGGCTCTTCCAAAACCTTCTCAAGTTTCGCATATTCACCTTGGGAGACCAATGTTTGGATCTCCTGGGTTTTATGGTCAATGAAGAGTGACCGCGCTAGCTGAAGTTGCTGGAATATCTCGGGAGTCCTGGCAACGTCAAGAGCCGTTTGACCACCGTAGTTGACAACTGAGTCATTCAGCGAAGGCCGACTCAGCAGATCACGAACTACAGGACCACGTCCTAATTGAGCGGCCAGATGAAGGGGAGTATTGCCATCTCGGTCCTGAGCATTCACATCCAACTCTTCGCCCGTCGATAGTATATACTCCACGACTTGCGGCTCCGCGCACTGAATAGCCAAATGGAGAACCGTCGTACCTGACAGATTGGTCGCCCCTTGAGGCTCCTTCGTCTCTTTTATGGCTTTAGAGATAGCGACGGTGTCGCCGCTCCGAAGGATCTCGAAAAGGCGGAAAGTTCTCACCGACTGGTCCAGAGACATGCTACTGCCTTCGGCATGGGGCAAAGAGGGAAGCTTCTCGATATTGTCGTCGTCTCGGAGGGAGCTCATCGATTCTCGCGGAGGTTCGCCAGCCATCGAAGGCAACAAGTTCGTCTCTTGATGTGATTTACGGCGGCTGGAGCTTCGCGCGGCTGGTATACCAGGGAAGGAGGACGTGCTGCTGCCGACCGGAGAGGATGTGGAAGGAGGAGGTGACTGGGCGCGATCGCGACTGGCACTGCCCTCACGACCCTCGCGCGACTTGTCTCGGTGCAAGATTGCCAGCGCCAAAGAACTGCGGGGACGTTTATGCCTAAAGGACATCCAGTGTCAGCACGCCCAAATTACGGCGGTCTTTCCGATGGGGACTCCGGGCCCCTGGCCACATAGGCGAGTAAGCCGGCCAACAAGTGTTGAGGGAATGAGGTTTGGCCCCGAACGATTCAGAAATCAATCTCAAGATACACTCACCCTTCACCCTTATCCGTCATCTCTCTCTTCTGCTCGCCGCGGCCACAATCAGTTCCCACGCCGGTTCCTCTAGACACAGGATGTCAAGTACGGTGTCAAGTACAGCGCCAAATGCAGCGGGAATCGCTGGGAACCCTCAGCTGCGAGGTGGGATGAGGAAAGGAAAAGGAGCCGAGGTAAGGAAGGAAAAGGAGGTTGGTTTGGGGTCGGCAAAAGAGGGATGGAGGGGTCGGATCTGGGGAGCGGCGCGCGTCACGTCACTTCTTGGAGAATCTCCCGACAATTGAGTATAACTGCTCATCGCTTCGCGCGCTTCGGCAAACGGGCGCACGGTTGAAGGAAAAGGTAAAATCTATTATACATGGAGTAAAATACATACATAAACCAACAGTCTTAAATGATGGCTGTATAGCCCGAGCTTCACCTAGTCTCTCCACTCACTACAACGATAACACTACCTAGCTGTCGACGAAGGTCTTCCTTGTCGACATCATGGGTATCTTCCACCTCGCCCCACATATCCGTCTGCCACTTAACTTCCATACTGGACGCTTCTGCTGCATCTTCAATCCCAAATCTTTTCTGTCCAGGTCGTTGTAAGCCACGGAAGTTCTCGCTCCACTCAGCGACCAGTCGAACAGCGATCAGAAGACTCTTCGCTGCGAGTATACCTCTCTCAAGCGCAGCCAGATCAAAAGCATGCAGATTCATGACCCACTGTCGAATGATATCCTTGGTGACTTGCGGCTGGGATACGGGCAGAATGCTGTCGGCATCTAGAATTGGTCGAATATCAACTCCGGGCCAGACCTTGGTACCCAGGAAGGCAATAGTATCATTGGCGACCCTCATCTGCGCCTCTCGAAGACTTTCGAGTTTTTCACCATTTTCGTTGGTTTCTCTAAGACAGTCAGCAGGCTCGGGCACCCAGCATAGTAGTGTGTCGGTGTCCAGATAACGCATCGCGGTCTTCACAATCTGATCCCTTGCGGACGATATGCCTTCCTCATCCTCTCGAGCAATATCCGCCGCACGCGCCGTAAGAGATGTCAGCGGAATAAGATGATTTTTCAGAGCTTGCTGGGCGGTAGTCATCACATCCCACTCCAAAGCAATCGCATGCGCTAGGTAAGGTTTCGTCGAGGGTATGGACAAGGCATCTTTGGACGGCGTTCTTATGGGGCGGGTGTCCAGCAAGACTTCGTAATTGCCTTCTATTATTAGAATCCGGAGCACGTTGGCAATCGAGTCAATCCAAGCCCTAAACGTATATTCGCCACAGTAGCTGTTCGAGATTTACCTGACTTTTTCCGAACACTAACATCCTTCCAGAAGCGCTTCTTGAGTCCTGAAGAGGGCTTTTCTGGACGCGCATTCGCCTCCTTTTCGAGTGAACTTTCCGATCGCCGTTCAGAGCATGCATCGAAGAAAGGTGCAGGTGATGGCGCGTTTGGGGGAGGCCCATGGGTAGTAATAGGGTGGGCAACAGCGGCTTTCATGGAGGAGGTTTTAAGAGAACGCGCAATAGCGGCATTATGTCGAGCAGCCAGGGTCGAAACTGCCTGTCGCGACAGAGTTGCGTAAAAATGAGAAAACCGCCGCATTTTCAATCAAGCACAATCTGCAGGAAGGTTTTGATACAATGGAGAGACAGGTGAGAATAGAAGCGAGGGAGCATGAACTGCTTCCAAGACAGTGTCGGATCAGGTTTCCCACTCACTGGGCACAGAGCGGAGGTGAAGTCGGGTCGGGACGCCACCGGCGCCGCAGATATGGAATGCGGCCTCCGCAACCATAGAAATCGCCAGGTTTGCACAGTGTTACTCGATCATCTTACTGCATGACGGGAAAAAGCATGTGGCTTTACCTCTGATTACTGAATGGGCTTGATCATATACTGTCATCGGTAGAAAAGTTCTTCTGTACTCATTCACAATTTTGTCACTTCATCCCTCCCGACAATATCAAGTCCCGCACACTGCATACCTTGAAAGAAAATGTGTACGTCACATAACCAAAGACTCCTCCCTTCCCTCACTATGCCAGGTTGCCATTCAATCTCGACACCAAGCGAATGTCAGAGGCAGGCGTTTCTTATGCCTTAACCATTTATTGTGACTTATGGTCGAGGTCAAGGCCTAAAAACTAGGTGATCCGCTGCGCAAAATCGCAACATGTTTGCCTCCAACAAGAAAACAGACATCTCATTAGCTATTAATGTTAACGGTATTCAATGATGTACATTACGCGTGAGACAATAGTGCACAACAATTTGAGAACGAAATGATGTCCTGGCTCGGCGTCTGGTGTTAAACAGTTTGCTGGCAAGCTATGACAAAGACAAGAGCGAGTCAGGACATCGAGAAGAAAAGGAAAGCAGAAGAGAAGGACAGCGGCACAAGCACAATATCCAAACCCGCACTTTTGTACTTTACATGAAGAGGATTTCCAATTGATCAGGACTCTTTGGAAATGGTGGAAATAACTTGGCTAGATCTGATCGCAATTCAGTATTATTCTGGAATTTCCAAAGCCCCAAATATCCCAATTCGGATCCAATAACAGCAGTGGATTCAGATGGGTTCGATGAGAGTGTCGGGCAGGGTCAAGAAAGGAAGAACGGGGAAGTTTGAAACGCGGAATAGGATACAGAGGCTGGGTAAATAGCCCCGTGAGCTGCTAAAAACTCGATAGGCCTGGTCTGGAAGAAGATTTCTCAAAATTGGTGTCATAAGGGCGTCTCATCATTAGCACGAGTCATAGCATCCCGTGGGTATAGGAGGGTGTCAAGGACGTTGCTGTCCTCTCAGCCAGACTAGCGAAATATGGACATAGTGTTTCAATGATCAGACCGGTCCAGCCTTAGTCTCACAAACACGGGCGATGGTAGCATGGGGAGTGGAACGTCTATCGCTTTTGGTGTATGCAGCAGCTGGCATTATTGCGTGATAAATTTTGGGTAATATGGCCGTTTCATGCGATCTATATCTGTTCGCTTCTTCATACGTTCGGCGTCGTAGGCGTCGGCGCCATCTCTGCTACCCCATGCAGTCTGCAGGGGAATTTTAAGTCAGCTGATATATTCGAGAATGGAAGGATAGGAAGGCTCCCGAAAACCCCACGCGCGACATAGACCTAACAAGGCTCTGAAAAGCGAAGGAACAGACGAAGGGACAGTACTGAACAGCACTTGAAGGGTTGAGTACAGGTGACGATAAACAGGTAAAGTGAAAGAGAGAGGGGAATGCGGATGGAACGGTGGTTGGAAAGAAGATCGCCTCGAAGATCCAGGAGGTCGAGTAGAATAGGCCGGGCGGCAAACAAAACTCATAATCGTCCAGACAGGGCGGGGAAGGTCGTTCAGGATGTACACGAAGACACGAGTATGCACGAGGGAACAGGGGAGACATGCAAGCCGAGAGGGTCTGGGCTGAGGACAACCCGAGCGTGGCTCTCCGTCTCCAATGAATGCCCTGGGCTGGGGTAATAGATACAATTGTAAATCGAGAAAGCAACTTACCACATTAAGAGTGAGCACGGCGTAGATTTTGATTCCCCCGTGGAAATAACCAAAGAGTATTGAAATTGGCAGCAGAACGAAGTCCACAGGATACCGAATGTAGTGTCCCAGAAGCTTGATAAACTTGCTCATGAGCATCCAACCTCCAAGTATTTGCATAGCCATCGTATGAGCATGAATGTCCCAATCTACCGTGGCTTTGTGGCACAACAAGAGAAGAAGCAAGTCACCCAGGAGCGCCGGGGGCGAAAGTGTCGTCAAATGAACAGCATAAGCACTCCAGGGTTGGCGGCTACAAAAGGAATCAGCATACACAACACAAACAAGACCAACAACAGCTTGGTGAGAACTCAGAATATGTCCAAGGTCGCTATCCAACATCTCTGTTTCACTCTGCCTCATTGCGCATCGTGACACAATGATGTACTCTCTCCAAATAGGCTCAGAACTGAATGTCGAGGGCAGACCAACAAGGGTACCCTGAGGGAAAGTTCGAACGAAGATAAGATGACAAGGTAAACTTACTACCAAACGTGTTTTTCATGGAACATGCTTGTAAGGTTGCTCCGCCAATTGCTTCGAGACCAGCGTGCGCATTGTTTCAGGAACTTCGGGTTATTCTCCAGAGTGGTCAGGACCTCGGCCTCAGGGTGGTACTGCATGTAAGTCTCCCAGCCATGAGAGACCATCCAGCGAGTGATGAAGTTGTCGTCGTCTGCGTTCAATTGATATTTGCCAAACCACCATTCCTCGTTTGTGAAAGCGTAAGTAAATCCTTCATCTTGGAGGATCTTGGTCCGATACGCGACTGTACGTCCGGACATGCAGGGCAACCCTCCATCTATGTGGGTGGTGGCTGCGCAATCAAAGTTTCGTCGTTCGAGATACAAGGCCCCAAGATATCCCCAGATGCGCTGGGACATGGTGGGTGCAATAGCACGTCGCAGCCGTTGGCAGGTGACCACACCACCGAACCGCTCATCCCTTTCGAAAGGCGCCAAAATCCAAGGAAGTACTGTGTGTGGCCAACTCACATCGTCATCTGCGAAGACGGTGATTGCCGTGCGTACCTCTGGGATTGCTCGTGTCATCTGGCGGCGTTTGTTCGGATGCGTCACTGTGAACAGACGAATTTTGGACTTCGAAGCAGGCATCAAGCTCAGCATGTGTTCGGCCTTCTTTCTATTCGCCTCGATAGTGACCAACAATAGTTCAAACGGATGATTATCGAGGATCGTTCTTATCGTCTCCACAAGTTCGTCGCCGCACCCTTCCAGCGTAGGAAGTATCACCGTGACATCTTGGGCAGTGAGTTCCGGGTTCTCGGGAAGAGGAATGGGCTTAAAAGTCCAGAAAGAAACCAAATTTACCACCAGACGAAAGTAGCGGTAGATACTATATGCCAGCCAAATCATCAGCACCTGCATCCCGTTCGCTCTCTGAGACCCAAGAAATGAATGGGAGGCGGAATTATGGCGGCAATGTGGTCCCAAGGAGTATTGACGTGGAAGTCACTTACAAAAGAGCAACAAATGCTCGCATATATGGAAATTCCATGCTGACCGCAATCCTGCAAGCACTTCCAGATGTATCACTTGGGTTTGAAGGCCTAAGACCAAGGAAGTTGGATACGAGAATTGCCTTGATTTTGCAACCGATCCGCGCAGGATGAAGGATTGGGCCAACGAGTATGTTGGTGAGCCAATACGGCGTTGAACACTAATCCTGAAAAGAACCAAGCAATGTTGATAGGAACGAAAAGTGAGAAACCAACAATGGCCTCCTATCTAGAAGAGAAGAGGCCAGGTTCGGGGGTAAATGTGGTGGCAGGTGGTCGTGGGATGTCCGATTAGGGGAGGAAGCCCAAGCAAAGTAACGAATGTCTGAAGTAGAAAAGCTGTCACCCTCCGCGGTCATAAGAGCGCTCTGCGAGAAAAAAAAAATAGATGAGACGAGACTGCCAGATCAATTGGTTCCTAGAGAGAGTAAGTGCCAACTACTTATGGGCAGGGAAGCAGCATTCGAGACTTTTCATTGTTGCAAATGGAGACGCTGGCGCGGCGGAATGGCAAGGAAGGCACATGGTCAAAACCGACATTCAGACAATAAATTGAACCAATCCGTAAAGAGAAATATAAATAAGTTACTCGTGGGCTCCAGTTCCTTTGTCATTTTGAGTGTCATGCAGGTGTATTTTTGCCTCGTGCGTCAGAGACCCTGGATCTAGATGGACTGATGGAGGATAGTGAGGGTGGAGAAGGGATTGGCGGCGGCCCATGCATGTAGCTACAGACTACTAGAGTGCAACAGTAGTCTAGTGCTAGCGATATAGTCCAGAGAGTGGGGACTAGTATTATTGCTGGTAGTGGTGGTGGTGATGGTGGGTGGTGGGTGGTGGGTGGTGGATTGACTCTCGCAGTAAGATGACGAGACCAAAGTCGAAGCTAGCCACTAGTTCTATTTACTGAGTACTAGAAAATTTGTACTTTACCCGGGAGGTGGGGGGGCAAGAAATAGGGGATGAGGATTGGAAAGAGAAGGGGGCACGATGGGAAAACAGAACGGAGGCCATGCTAGTATAAGTCATGATCTGGTAAATGCCTCTCAAGTTACTTGGAAATGGTGCTCGAACATCTCAACTTGATCGTGTCTACGACGTGCTAAACAAGCTTGTATCTAGAAACAAGTACACAGAGACTAGGTACTAGGTACAGTAGGTAGGCGAGTAAGTTAATAAACGAGCACTGGCCACTGTGTTAGGAAAAGACCATGCAGCGGAGGAGTCATTTTAGCACTGTTCTTACTCTTGCTCTTGCCTCTCGGACATATGGCATTTGTCGTGTTGGAGGTCCAAGCTTACATCCACACATATCTGCCTCTCTCTCTTCCTCTCTCTCTTCTCTTCTTGAATCCCTGCAGCAGTCGAACGTTACACTAAAAAAAATATATGGATATCTGTTCCCCTCAATTGTTTACTATATTGTGGTGTTCCCCCTTATAGCCCGACTGCGTAATCCGCTCGTAAGCCAATCTGCAATACTGAGGTGGCTTGTCGACCATATTCGACAGGCAAGAGACGCCGATGAGCCGACAGCCTAAAACAACTAGGGAGAACAATACTGAGTAGGTGGAGGCGACCAGAGTTTGTTTGTCGGCTGGGTGATCAGCCAACTGAACAAGGAATCACAAGTGGGTAAAGTATAGACTAAACTACTAGCAACAGTAACTTAGAAGGTAGCTACTCCATTGAGTACAGTTCAATAAATTCGATCGCAACCTCGAGGTACTACTTACTGATACTTTTCTTAAGGCCGGCCTCGGCTCTTGTCGACTTACAGTGGCAGGTGCGCTAATTTTTCTTCTGTAAAGAAATTCTTCACTGCATACCCATCGATGACCTTGGAACAACCATTGGATACGACCTACAGCTTTCTTGGTCCAGAAGACAGGAGAGAAAATGCATCGCTACATCATCTCTATAGTCATGCAGTTTGCAAACGCGAGTACAATGACTATGATCAAAGTGAATTAAAAGTCCGCTCACTATGTATATCGGCGGAGAGCAGGAGACCAGAGACCTGATTCAATTCCCCACCATGGGTCAAGGAGGTACGAAAGACACTAACGGCTGACAATGGATTGCTATTCCTATCGAGATGCAGCATGGTGCATTCGATCTAAAGGCATCATTAACTATAGCGTTGATTAGTAGGTGTGCAAGTTAGGTGTCTAATTATCGAAATCCAAGTGATTGGTTAGCTACGATCGGGGATTTTACTTAAACGGAATGAGGGATGAGGGATGAAATATGAAGACAGGGATAATAGTCCAAGTGAGCAAGGAGGAAAATGGGAAGACAAAGGCACAGAGAAGGGAAAGAAAAAGAAAAAGAAAAAACAAAAACAAAACAAAAACAAAAACAAAAAAAGAGAGTGGGGGAAGAAAGAGAGGTTGTGGGAAAAAAAAAAGAGAGAGAAAAAAACAAAAGTTATACCAGCTCGTTCACGTGCTACTCAGACCCTATTCTTATTTAATTAGACATACAGGCCGCATGACACTGCCGGTATTACAGTTACCATCCCGGAGGCGGCATCGGGAGTCCGCTGGTCTTCGGGATTGAATTTCTCAAGCATCATCACTGCCTTCAATGCTATATTTTATCTCTTTGCTCGAGCTTCCCAATGTGCGCACGATACAAGGAACACTTTCTAGACTGCCAGATCTAGTATTACTACCTTGCTTTCTGTCCAAATCACTCTAGAGTGGCGACCGATCGATATACTGTATCGCTTTTCTGTACTCTATGATATTTGAAAAGTTTAGGACATGTTAAATTCACCACTGCATGGTTGTTCGAATTGAACCAGAATGGAAAGGATTAAATTATGCCTGGAATGTATGCGATTCGACAGTAAACAATAACACCTCTGAAAGGCAAAGGTCAATACTTAAATCAATACAAAATTTACTAAATGATATTTATGGAAGGCATTGGTTCTACTTCTAGTACAGCAATCTATTTGGCCTTGAGATCACTAAGACTTTGGAGTGCTTGCTGTCTACAAAAATTTCCGGGCAATCTCCTACTGTGCCCTCCGATCTTGAAGCCAAAGATAATGACCAGACAAATGTAATGTGCATTCACTCGAGTATAGGTTGGAATATAGTTTTTGAGCGACAGCTTCTAGGCACCGTGGAATAAAGGCCACATCAAGCGACATGTATGATTTCCCTTCAAAGCTCGTTCAACGAGGAGTAGATTTCTGACATCTAGCAGTGACGCCTGTGACTATTGCAGATGGTCTGACCGAGACAGCCGCTAATCGAGAACTAGGAGGGAGCACCTACAAGCCCGAGGCCCATTCATGATCGTATTGCATCAACGATGTAGCTTACTTGACCGGCGACTGAGTCGGGAGGGTATAGCATCTGGTGCAGTGTTGTCCCGGTCAGTGTGGCCTGGAACATTGGCCCGGAGAGGAAACGAGCGCACAGCTACAATGTCTGGTAGAATGATTGAAGTTGCGGTAAACTACTTACATAGATCTGCCTTACTGACTGACTGATTGAACCACAGCTGACATAACCATGCAAAACCCCAAAGCTGTAAATGTGCAAGCCAATTGGTGATCTTAGTGGCGATCTCTCGAAACCGTCTGACGAGTCCACCGGCCGCGTTCATATGCCCTATGATAGCCCACACAGAAGCAGGTCGTGGAGCTTGAGTGGAGAAATGAGCAACATTAGCATATGTTGATAATACCTCACGTCCTGGTACTCATAGCATTAGTACAAGATCGTGATATGTCATTGATGCTCTCGCTACACTCACCACATTCAACAAATTACGGCTGGGCGCGACTTCCAATCCTCGGTGGAACATAAGAAAAATTGTTACAGTAAAGCCTTGATTCTAGAAGGGAGCTTGCCTGCGTCACAAGATTGATACTCATGGGCGGCACATTTATCCACAATGATCACTGGCTTCATGGATTCGCATCCAGAGGTTTGACAGATGGCTCGTGCGTGCATCTAGTGGCAAAACTTAGCCCTTGTCCTCCAGTGAAATTACAATTACGTATACTCCGCAGGCGTAATGGTATTCTTGCCCCAGATAGTTTCAATAGCGGCACAGAAATGGGGGGGAAAAAACCCCCCTACCTAGGAGGTAGGTAGTAGCACACTACCAAGGCATTCGCCTTGGCTGGGAGCAATTCTAGAACTGCTAGGGACATTGAATTGATGTCGCCCCTCGCCAGATAGATCAGTTTTCTACTACTATCAAGCGGGACTTGCAAAAAACTTGGGGTCTTAACCCACTTGTTACACCCTTGGCTTGTCAATTCTCGGAAGCCTTCTATGGTGTAGATTACACATAGGAACTACTTCTCTTGTTGCTGGGAGTCTTGGCCTCGATACTCTCATGGAGTTCCGCTGGAGGTCAACACGACTAATTGAGTTGCCACCAAGTAAGACGGCGTTTGATTCATCTCTCAATAGTATAATCAGGACCGCTGTTCACCCTTTAGCTCCAAATTATAGAGCGACTAGTATTGTGCTGTACAGTACAGACACACACGGAAGCATAGAGATGCTTCAAGGATCCACCCATTTTCCTTGCTTTCATTGGACCGCTTCTGCTTCTGCTTATCATACTCGTACATATAACAATGAACGTGCGGCCCGAGCTCCACCTCTTGTCTAGGGATAGACTCGCATTATCCCAACAATTTTGTCTTGGCACACAACAACTCTGTGGGCTTTCCGTGATCGTGCAATCGTACATGTATATCTGTTATCTAGGGGCGCCTTCTTTCCGCAGACGACTCCCGGAATGGCAGTTGCATGGACAATGGATCCTACCTTTCCTTACTAGTGTGCCAGGTGAATTGTAGCCCGCCAGCCTTACTAGTGGCTGCAGATGGAAGTGGATGCTCCTGCAAGTCACCTTAAACGGTTATGTGCTTCAGAACTCGGCGGGGCTGTTGCAGTCTTGCAGATAGTGTCACGTACTCAACAAAAAGGCTTCCAATCTAACCTGATATTCTACTAAAGATAAGTAAAAAGCACAGTGTTCCATGATTGAGCAGCTGGATCCAGTTGCGAAAAAAAATGGTTGCATTTGCCGTGATGGGAGATTTACGGACTCCGAGGACTGCCCGACTGACGGGTATACCTAGAAGTGAGTGTTCTCACAAAATGACAGCGCAATAAATTCTTGTATATTACTGTGTATGGACTTCGTACATAACTCGGCAGTAAATACGGTTCGGAGGATTACACGAACCTCCGGAAGTTGTAGCCAGACGACGTCCGTGCGGGTCAAGTCTGCCGATTTGCTACTCGACCCTTTTCGAGTGCTGTGCATGTACAGTTGTGTACTCCGTACTAACCCCCCTTGTTTTGTTCCGCTTGGCTCTTGGTAGTCGGAAAATCTGTTCATTCAACTAAGATTAAGAGCTCAGTGATCTAATGAGTAACCGCGAATTCTAATTAATGAATCCTGTTTTGATTCTTCCTTGGTCAGCTACCAAAACTTTCACAGCAGGGACGTAGAGCTGATCTGCCTAACATGATTTTCCCAACGGTGTGGCTTGGATGTGTGGGCGAGTAAAACAGACGCGTACAGGACATATCTCGGCTGCTGCACGGACATATTCAGTATTACTAGACTCCATCTCACTCCACCTTTACCCGGGAATGACCGAGGAAGTATCCATTCCGGCGCCAATTCGCTACTCATATGTTGTGAGCTTGTGCCGGGCACCTCAAGTACGGACAGAAAGAAGTCGCAGATCGGGTCATATTAGTCAGCTGTCATCATAGTTACAGAGCACGCAGTACTACATGGTATATTTTGAAAGGTGGTGTTCAGTGCTCGTACTAGTAGCCAAGTAAGAAGGTTGAATTGTGATCTAATCACACATCCCTCGATATTGTCCAATTGATTCGAGACCAGGTTCATGATTCAGTATGTGGATTGGCTACTTATAAGCTAGGTTTTCCACAACATCACACATGATATGCCGTGCTCAGAACGTTAAGCACTCAATCCACCAGATATAAAATAGCTCAATATGTATTGTACTGTGTAGGTGTGCGCAGACATCTTGACCGTCAAACAAAATAGTTTACATGACAAGGCAATCCACCGGCGGATGCTTGTTACAGTAGTGAGATGCATGCTTAGCCCATTATCAACGGACGCTTGTTCGCCTACCAAGGCTATGTTTGATGTTCACTGAAGTGCCCAGTGCTCACTGCGACCTGCCTCAGAGGCCCAAACTTATGTGCATGAAGTGCCGCTTACACTGGCATTATCTTCTACCCGCATACCAAGGTCGCGCTTATCAGGAAACTGTAGCAGATTCCATTCCCCATCGATCAACAAGGGAGATGACATGCAGCCTATGCGGTCGATCAGCACGCCAGCCGTGTTTATAGACACCACTCAATTCGGCTATCCGGATCTGTACTTATCTAGTCTAGACTAGACGGAGGTGAAGATACGCGCAAATTGATATCACGCAACTTTGCTCGAGTATGAGAAAGGGGCCTATGATTCACTCGGCTGTGGCTTTGTGAGACCAACCGCGGGGAATAGCTTTCCAAGTTAGGCCCTCGTCTTACAGAACGATGCATTTGGTAAACCTACAGTCTTCAAGCTGACTCCGTTTGAGTGATATTTCTTGTGGTGAAGGCGGACTGTGCACATTTTAGCGCAGGCTAACTAGTACTTACTGGTGGGATCCTCTTCTATGTAATTTACAATACGGAGTACATACCCATACAAGAATACTCGTATGTAGGAGTAAATTGGGGCTGTGGGGCAATTCTTCGCTGCGACCGAACCCACTTCCACAATAAGCGTTCGATGGTTGGTAGAACACTGCAAAGCCTGCAGCCCGCGGGTTACGAATTCGGTAGCGATGAGCGAGAGGAAATTGACTACTCCTCCGTAGTCGTAGACTAGGTTGGCACCATTCATGTATCTAGGCGCCGTGGACCGGCTATTTAGGAAGCTTGCTGCGTTTAGACAGATACATAGCGCTCCTGGTCTCATGTCCCGAGTTTCGACCAAGCTTGAGTGAAGGGCGATTGATAATGAGATAGCATAGCATTGCTAACCAAGCAGAAGACGTACAAGGAACGGTCCCGATGGATGCAGATGAAGCTGACTACATAGAGAGTGGTAGGCAGACACGGTTAACTTTGACTACTCGTACATACAGCATCGTAACGTAGACTCCCAATGCCGGCAAGCCAGACCACTCTGAGCACGGGCATTCATACTCTGTTGCTCTTTTCGAAAGGGCTTTTGGACTTCCGTTGATGAAATTTCCACTCCAAATGTGAACTGCCAGCCTGATCATCCTAGGGCTTAATGCTGTGTCCTGCCCTATCCTCAAAGAGGTGAGCATAGAGTACTAGGATTGGAGACAGGCGATTTGTGGCACTGTATGTACAGCTACGGATATCATAGGCTGGGATTGAGCAAGGCGTTGGGCAACCCGCTTCAATTTGCTCTCTCTAGCTAAGTACTGTACTATATGCAGTATCTACTGTGGGGGCGGGTGTGCTGGGTCACTGAAGCTTGGCCAGGCTATTTGTGGTTTCCCAGTTCCCACACAAAGACGCGTTCTAAGTTCAACCTCGCAGCAGTGCAACAGGATACCCCTGTTGTCATTCCTGTCAATATTCGCTGCTTTTGCTATCTGTC